GATGGGCGGGGGCGAGCACTGACACTCAGGAAAAGAGATTTTTGTACTGAGATGGGAACGTGACTTTTTAAAGGCAGTTTTGTAGCAGCTTGAGGATCATTACTCTTGCCCTGGGTAATGCAGCAGGAAGCAGTGTGAAGCTTCTGATCTGCAGTATTATACAATGCCTCGTGGACTCTTCAGGCTTAACAAAAGCACCAAATAATAACAAGTGCAACCAGAGACATCCATGGGAGCCCTGAACACCCTCTCGGTTCCTATGAAAGGTTGGAGTTGAGTGCTCTTTGGCAGGTGGAGTCGGAGCCAAGATTTCTCTCCTTGCCAGGCTTTGTTACAGGTCGGTTTGAAAAGTGAATTAGTACTGTCTGGGCTCTGAAGCAAGTGGAATTCACAGATGGGTGGAATTCTCTATCAGTAAGAGCCCTTGGTGTGTATTGGCCCACCAGATTTGTTTATCAGTGATGGGACTGAAAGGATTTCCACAACAGGGCGTGTAGAGATTTCTATGCTTTCTCAACAAACGTCTCCACTAACCAGGTCTTAGGTTCCTTATTCTACAGCAAGGATGCTTGCAGCCTCCTCCAACTGAGAACAAACACAAGGAGATAAACAAGCCAGCTGACATGTGGGCATCTGCCTATCACTTGAAAGAGAAACTGTCACTTTTTAAAAGCCCACAAACATATATTAATATAATATTTTATTAATTCTTTGAGAATTTCATGCACAGTATCTTAATCACATTCCCCTCACTCCTGCCCCCAACTTCTAGTCACCCCCTCCCAAATTTATGACCTCTTTACTGTTTAAACAAGCCACGGAGTCCAATGTATGTTACCCATATATCATAGATGTGGGGCTATCCAACGAAGCATGGTCAGCCTCCCAGAGGCCACACCCTTAAAGAAAACTGGCACTGCCTCGCCCACACACCATCCTTTGTCCATGGTGCCTTAGTTAGGGCTGGAAGCTCATGAGTTCCTCCCCCACCATGCTGGAATGTTGGCTGCTGTGATCTTGTGCAGGCAACCACTGTTGCTGGGAGTCCAAGTGCACCTGTCCCAGCAAAACCATAAGACACTTCACAGATGCCGTCCTCGCCCTGGGACCACGCTGGTCTTCACTGTAGCCTTCCAGTTGTCGTATATGGGTTGTCAAAGCAGGGTCACCCACAAATGTGTTTAATGGCATGTTACCTTAGTTCGTCCACAATTAAAGGGATCAGACATCTGACTGGAAAGGGCATATTTCTTTCACTTGGCATTGGGACTAGCTTGGTGGTTCTCAACCTCCCTAACGCTGCGACCCTTTAATACAGTTCCTCGTGTTGTGGTGACCCCCCCACACACCATAAAATTATTTTGTTGCTACTTCATAAATGTGATTTTGCTGTTATGAATCAGAATGTAAGTATTAGATAGGCAGGATATCTGATCTGCAACCCACTCCCAAGGGGTCACGACCCACAGGTTGAGAACCACTCATCTAAATGGAACCTATCATCAGAAGCTTTTCAGACGTTTCCCAAGCCTAGGCTCATCTGCTGCATCTAAGCTTCAAGGTACAGCTGGATGCCCAGAGGCCTCTGGAAGGACAAATGAGAGAAGGACCCGGCCACTCCTTGGAGAGCTGCTCTTTCGTGTGTCTATAGCCAAAGCCTCCAGATGAACCATGAAAAAGGCATCCCCTCATCTGCCGGGGTTGATGCCAAACATCTGGATGTTATATAATAAGCCATTTAGGGCTTTTTCTTGCTCTCTTAAAAATAATCCCAACAGTGAAGTCTAGATTTGGGACCCTGCTTTCATGTCCTTTCCACATGGTCATCGGGCAGAGTAGTCTCAGTGATTTTTCTTTCCCATTAAAAGCTTCACATGCACAATCAGGAGAGGGATTATAGAGCTGGAATGGACATTTACAGGTGACCATGAAGCCTTCCTCAGGCTCCTCGGATGTCCCTTCTTTGTGGTCACAGTGCCTGACAATGGAAGACATGACAGCATGCTAATATTCACAGGCACTGGTGGCCTATGCTTTGGAAAACACATACCTCTGTACTATGACTTGGTGCTACACACAAGTAAATGATACCAACAACTCGAGCAGATTCTGTTTCATTCCCTGCAATTCTGCAGAACACTCTGAAACAGGACAATGGGTTCTCATGCTTCCCATGTCCTTAGACCATAGCTTGATTCTAATGCTGCCAAGTTCTTGGTCAAACACAATGTATAGCCACACGGAGAGAGCAGCCTGGCCCTTGCTATATCACAGGCTCTTTCGATTGGGCCCCACTCCTTGCTACTACTGTCTTTCTGCGTCTCAATTTCCCCCATGGCTCATGTACCACCATTCACAGTCCCTGTGCAGAGATCTTCTTGCAAAAGCAGTGAAGTACATGTGAACATCACTGTCATTCTGAAAGCCCACAAGCATCCTTTAATGGCGGGCACACTCTCTCTTTAAGGGAAATATTGTTGTGGAGAAACTGAGATTCAAGAGAACTAGGAGCCAAGAGTAGTGATGCAAATCCGCAACCCTGGGTGTCAGGGGGCTTCAATAGGAGGGTTGTGAGTTCCAGGTCAATCAGAGCTATGCAAGGGAGACCCTGGCCTCCCCACACAGAAATAAGGGGAGGAGAAAGAAGAGGAAGACACGGAAGATGGGAAGGAAAGACAAAGGAAGAAGAGGAAGGGGTGGGAGAACAAAGCAGCAGCAGTTGAAGAAGATTAAGCAACTTCCCCTTCTTGAAGTTGAGACATAATTCAAGTCTGACACAGTAGAAAAGCCATTAAGATCTTTGCTTTGAGTTGGGCGGAGTGGCGCACACCTTTGATCCCAGTATTCGGGAGGGAGAGTCAGGTGGATCTCTGGGAGTTCAAGGCCAGCCTGGTCTACAAAAGAGAGTGCCAGGACAGCCAGGACTATTACACATAGAAACCCTGTGTGTAAGAAACAAACAAACAGATCTTTGCCTTGGGGGGCAGTGGGTCTGGGTGCAAATTTGACCTCTCTCTCTGTCACTGTAACTTGGGGCAATTGTTTGGTTTCCTGAAACCTCCTCTCTTAAATGAAGAAAATAACATGGCCGTCTCCACAACTCTGTGAGGAGGAGAGAATGAGCATAAAATACTGGGTTTCGGTGACTTGCCTCGTGCAGTTTCTCTGATGACTGACTCTCATTAGAATCATCAATAGACTTGCCCGGCTCACTCCGGAGTGCAGCTTCTAAAGGAACCGCTGTTGGCTTTAAACAAATAGTTATTCTGGATTCCGCTCCACGTTACAAAACCTGCAAAGAGTTACTGGAACCAGAGAGATACTTACTGTTAACTCGACAAGAATTCTGAAAGCGGATAGTTCCAGCACAGGCAGGCTTGGTGACCTAATGGTGCCGCCATGTCCTGTGCAGCTGGGACTTGACCTGACAGAGGTTGAGAAGGGAATAAAGAAAAGCCTCGGAAATGGCAGACACAGAAAGGCTGGGGTCAGGTGGATCCTGTGCACTTGGATGGAGTGGTATTAACTACCCAGCAACATGGAACTTGCGCGTGTTACTGTGTACAGCACAGAGGGGCAGGGGTAGCTAGGGTTAGATAGAAAGTCTCTGTAGGTGAGCAGTCTTAGGCTGTAAGCATCTGCAAGAAGGAAACTACCTTTGGTAGTTTTTGCATATGCCTGCCAACTGTTTGTCAATACTTGCACTTGGCCCACACTGCCAACATTTGAACTCACAGAGGTAACAGGTAGCCAATCCCTGCCTTAGACCACTCGTGGTATTTCTGAGTACATAAGCTGTCCTGCTTAATGGTAGATTTGATTAGCAAAGAACAGGGAGTCACTGCTTGATGAGCATGCCACGGTGACAGGGGTCTTGTTCCAAGTGGGAGTGAGCTGAAGCTGTGAGAACCAGTTACCTGCAGAACCGTCAGGAGGCTGGGACCACACTTACTTACAGAGACACACGTGTGAATGTGCACCTAGGGGCCCCCCAGGTCTACACTCACGGTCTAAGCTGCGCGTCCTATTTTTCCTATGGCTTGTGGGTATTTGCAGGAGTGGGAAGGTGCATGGTTAACGATTCACAAAACTAAGGTCACTCACTGTCAGAGATGACAAAGAACTTATCCTCTCATAATATAGCCTTTCGAACCGCATCTCCCATTGTCCCTAGGAGACGCTTTGGTCTCATCTGCCCCAGTGTATTTTATTCTCTCCTTTCTATCACTCCCGTGGCTGGAACTTCCTTCTTACCTTGGCTTTGAAAGCAAGTTCCTCCAGTGCAGGAAATTTCCTAGCATTCTGAAGAAAGCCGAATTATTCTGTGGTTTATGTGCAAGGCGCCAAGTCACACACTTTGTGCAAAAGGGAATAAATATATAAAGAAGTAGGAGACACTGTCTCTTTCTTGATCTGGTTGCGTGATGAGGATGGATTGAGTTTTACATGAAGGGCAGGCACAGAGAAAACACTTTTTTTTTTTTTTGAACATGTACTTTCTTCCAGCAGGACTTTCCCAGTTGGAATTACGTCTAGATCCAGATTTTCAGTCACAGAAGAAAGTCAACCTCATCTGGTTGCAGTGTTCCCTGTTTCTTTTGACCAAAAATGGTTCCTTTTTCGGGTCCTCTAAGTTTGGTCACTGGTGTTCACACCAGATTTCAAATCACGGTGGAGTGGTTCCAAAGATCCTATCTGCCTTCCAAAGTGCAGCTGCCCCCACTGAAGGAGGTAACAGATGTGCAGGGGATTCACCAGACAGTTCTGAAGGGGATCCACGGGAAGAGCTCCCCACCATGGAGGGTGGTGCAGCAACTCGGCTCCTGAGACACAGTGAAGCAGGCAAGGCGCCATCTGTCTGCGCAGACGCAGAAACTGCACGGCTCTGGGAGGGCTGGACCCGGCCTGAAGTTGGGCCAGGTTTGGTCAAGAATAGAAGAGGGACTCACCATGGAAGAAATTGTTGCTTCACCACTGGACTCGGGAATACAAAACATGGATTCAAATATCAACTTCCCATTTATTAGCTGCAAAACGTAGTCAAGATTCTCAAGTCTCCAGCGTTCCGCTGCCCCGACTCTAAAGAGGGACTTAAGAAAGCTGACCCCTCAAGGGTACCAGGAGGAGTAAGCGAGCCGATAACATATGTAACACATTAACCATAATGCTGTGTTTATTGTCACCACCCCCAGCTGAACAAAAATCTCACCGAATGGCCTTCCTGGTCCATCCCAGGATTTGTGAGTTGTCCATGTTTTAGCTGTACAAACTATAGTCCAAACAAACCGAAAAACTTGACCGTCGCAATGACCTCTCACCATATCTGCAGGCTGGCTCTGCGTGTGAGCGCATGGTGGATGAGCGTTTGCTTCCTTTCTGCTCTGCTTTGCCAACCACTGGCTCATGATCCAGGCTGTGTCGTAGTCTGTGGAGGCTTCTGTAACAAAATACCTTAGGTGGGGAACTTAAAAAAAAATGTACTCACTGTTCTGGAGGGTGGGAATCCGAAGATCAAGGTGGTGGCAGATTTGGTGTGTGGTGAGGGCCCACTCCTTGCTGCCAGGGTGATGTAGTGTGGGCGGGTCCTCACAGGGTAGAAGCGGGGCAAGACAGCCCGTTTCAACCACATCCTTTATAAGGGTACTAGTCCCTTAACCACGACTGAATCACTTCTCCGGTGGCCCCACCTCTGACTATGATCACATTATATATTGGGTTCCAACATGAATTAGGGAATGGGACAACACCGTTCAGACCACAGTAGATCTGTTAGGTTCAACTGTACCTAAGTGTTGGTGTACCTGGGAGGTGTGTGTGTGGGGGGGGGGGTGGCCACGAGTGCATGCGGGCTCTTACTCTTGGGGGATAATCTTGTGAGGTTTTCAGTTCTTTCTCCCATTGCTGGATATCCCCAAGCTACTTGTCCCTTGGCTTGGCCAGCCTATTCCAGGAAGCCACTCACTCTGGTGAAGGGGTCCTGGTATGTGGTTGGTACTCACCGGCTCCTGGGTTTTGCTTTGCTAACTCGTGGAAACAGAGGCTGTTTAGCGCGCGCGCGCGCGCGCGCGCACACACACACACACACACACACACACACACACACACACACACACCCCAAGCAGGCAGCTGACTCTGTGTATCCATGGTTCCCAAAATCCAGGACACACCTGTAAATCTCTCCTGGTGATTCTCCAGCATTCACCTCTGTAGAATCTGTTCTGCTTCCTGCTGGTCTCTTCTTGGTCTTTAGTCTGGAAATGAGGCATGGCGACATCCTCCAAGCAAGCTCCAAGAGACAGTCTACACCTCTCCTGGGAACGGAGGCAGGAGAGTATAGTTATAGCATGGGCTATAGTCATGGGCTCAGCAAAAATTCCAGCACTCAGCAAGGCAGGGCTCCTTTTGGGGGCCTGTCGGATGCAGATGAACGTCAGGTGAAAGCAGACTGAAGACACTAGGAAATGACCTAGGAGCAGCTCAAAGGCTCTGCCCAGGTGACAGAACCGCAGCTGCCCCGTGGAATCCCAGATGTGTTTCCCTTTCCTGCTCCACATGTTAGCAACGCAGCCCCGATTACTAGCATTGCCTTCCGCCTCCCCCAGACCTCGCTGTTTCCCAGCAACACCTGATTTAAAGTAAAAACTCAGAGGGGCAGGTTTGTGCCTATGAGAGAAGGGGGCATACGACTCTCCCGCTCCTCCACAGGACAAGAAGGAAGGGGGAGATGGCGGGGGAGGCAGGCAGCCTAGAGGACTCTCTTAGGCCTCACACTAAATGAGGACGCCTGGCGCCTGCGGCGGGGTCAAATGGGGTCAGACAAGCTTATCCCTCCGCCTGGGAATTAAGGGCATCCTGAGGACAGCTGCAGAACAGGAGGCTCCTGGGCCCTCCCTTTCTAGGCAGGTCGAGATCCCTGCAGAAGGGGTATCTCTCGTGGTGGTGGCAGCGATGGCGTGTGCCTCTCGCCCACGGAAAGCGACGCGGGGCTCCGTGCAAAGCCCAGACGAGAGACAAAGAATAGCTGTCAGTGTTGTACGCCTCCTACAGAATTGATGCTTCGTGTACGATCCCTAAAGCCAAAACCAAACACCCCTGCAAACATCAACAGACTTTGCATCTGTGACAGGCCCCTCCAAACTGTTTCTCCAGTTCGTGACAACGAATGCGTTCCTTGTATATCGCCCCAAAGTCACCCGGGACCACGACGGGTTTCCCCGGCTTGCCCGGGAGAGCTCAAGGCCGGGGCGCGTCTGCTCGCAGGCTGGAAAACTTTTGCAAGGAAGGGCTGCGCTGGCGCGGCGAGGGGCGGGTGGACACGCAGCGCGGCACTGCCACCTTGTGGCCGGCGGCTGCATCGCTGACGACCGCTCGCAGCATCCAGCGCAGGACTCGAGCCTGGGGCCAGGCAGCAACGCACGTCCGCAGGAACGCGCCGGGCTAGCAGGAGCAGGGGCGGAGCGTGCCGACGCCGGTCACGTGGGTTAGCAACAGGCAGCAGCCAATGGCGGTGCGAATCAGGTGGCGCGTGCGCTCGGAGGCGCGGGGGAAAGGCGTGGAGGGCTCTGTCCCTGCAGAGTAGGCTGGCTAGGGGTGCGGCTGGGGATCGTGGTTGGTCTTCCGACCTTGCTGTGGGGCTGGCGGGCCACATCTTCAAACTAGGACTCACCCTTGCATAGCAGAGACACCCACCCCCCACGCCTGCCCAGGGGACAGCGAGCGAACGAGGGAGAGGCAGGCAGCAGGGACATCACTGTGGTCCCCCTGCATCAGCCACTTGTTGCTTTGCCAGAGCCTTAAGACCGAGTCTGTCACCTAGATTCTCTTACAGGATCAAAACAGAGTTAAGGATGATCCTGGCTGGCTGTCAGTGCTTCAGTCCCTTGCGCTTCTTGTAACAAATGGGCGTCAAGACTTCACAGAGCCTAAGGTCTGGCCAGAGGAGAACAAAGCAGAGGAAGCCAGGAATTGGGTCAGAGAGGAAAAAAAGGCAACTTAGTTGGTTTTAATTCTCTCCATTGGAAAAGCCACATCCAAAAGTACAAGTAATTGACTTTTATGGTAATCCCACCATGTTGACACAAACCAGTCCTCCCTTGAGCGCTGTGCTGACCACACTGCACAATGTCAGGGGTGGGGGAACCAGAATGGTCTCTGACAAGTCCAGTCTCCCAGGGGTTTTCCCGGCTGAGCCCACTCTTTCTTGTGAATGGCGTCTCTTCCTCTCTGTACATTCTCTGAAACAAATCCAGGATGGCCCTCGACAGGCACCCAACCCATTCTTCTAGTTTAGGGCATTTTGAGTGACTATGAGCTGTTTCACTGTTGTAGGACATGGTTATAGAGACAAAAATGGCCCAGCATCCAGGATCCAGCCACCCTTCACATCCCCCTGTGTACTATTCTTTTGATAGCCTGCTCAGACTTATTAACCATTCAACTGTGGGGTAACTTCCTCGTCCCGGATTTTATCTTTTTCTCTTTAAGGTCATTCAGGATCAGATTACCTCAGAGGGTGATGGAAATGACCTGCCTGTCTAGAACAGAAAGCAGTTTGCTGGGATCTACCAAGACAGCTTCCTTGAGACTAGCCATGCCTTACCATCCACAGACCTCGCTCTTTGCATCATTTGAGCCAGAGAGAGTCCTCAGAACACCTGATTTAACGTAAAGACGCAGAATGTCGCGCTTGTGCCTATGGGAGAAGGGAATTTAGACACTGGAAGGACAAGAAGGGGGACAGAGGATGGAGGGAAAAGGCAGCCAGGCTCGAGGACTCTCCTGGGCCTCACACTAAGTGAGGATGCCTGGAACCTGCGGAGGGGAGCGAGCGAGGTCAGACAAGCTCATCTGACTCTGGGTAAATTTTTTTTTCCTCCTTTATGTGGACCTTGACACCTAAGTATATCAATTACTTTATACAACAGACCCTGCAGACCCACTAAGTCCTGGCTAACAATTATATTTCTGCAAATTAAGTATGTTGTTGCTGTTGTTTTAAGCATGATACTCCTAAGTTCCTGGCTAGGATGTGCAATCGGCTTGAGTCTGTGGAGAGGCCCTGAGTCCTAAGCAGCGGGTCCCACATAGATGCTGGAAGACAAGAGACTAGTAAAGTGAAGCAGATTCCTGAAGAAAAGGGAGCAGAGATCACCCTGCTGCCCTAGGCAAGCGCTAAGCTGCCTCCCCTACACTGGTTGATGGCTCTCTGCATCCTCTTCCCCCAGCTCCTGCCTCTGGTCCTCAGCTCTTCTTGAGGTTCCTTTGATCATTGAACAACACGATGGTCCCTGTGTTTAATACTTTTACACACTGGGATCAGATCTGAAGAGTCCTGGGCTAGGAATCCCAAAGGAGACCAAACCGCGCCTGGCTCCAGCCCTGGCTCTGGCACTTGACAGAAATTCCCAACTTTCAGCACATTTTGACGGCCTGAACTTGGCTTTCCTCAGCTCCAGCGTAGGATGGAGCCTGTTACTTGGCAGCTGCACATGGTTGGGACCCAAGGTCCCAGTTTTCTTATCTACAGATTGAGGAATGTGAACTAGATTTACAGTTTGGTGAGGTTTTTTTTGTTTTGGTTTTTTGGTTTTTTGTCCTGTAGAAGACGATACCCTTAAAAAAAAAAAAAAAAAGTCACGTAAAACCCCAACATATGAAGCGGACAGGTTTGCTTTAATCACCTGAAGGCAGAGGGCTCTGAGTCCCCTAAAACTCACTTTTACCTGTTAAAGGGCCCGGAGGATGCTGTGTGGGACTCCGGGAACCCAATTTGAAATTCCCTGTGCTGGAGGACTGCTTTAAGGGAGCTCCCATCTCTAAAACCCCAGAAGCCAAGATTTTTCTAGCTCTGGATGTTTTTGTGATGAGTGTGAATCCTGATTCCTTTCTTCGTGTATTACTATGTCACAGGAGACAATCTCACCAGCTCTGTGAAAGCCAAAACAGGTTTCCCTACTGCCCTGCCCATGGCTGTGCCTGAGAATAAAATTAGATTCTGGTGGAACATTACATGCTGTCATGAGAAAGACACCGTGATGGGGATGCCTTTAACTGATCTCATAACTTTGATTATTAACATGTTCGTAGCTAGAAAAAAATAAGGAGGATGAGTAACTTAGAAATCCTGGGCGTGCACACGATCTAAGACCCTAATGAGTTCTTTTTCTGCCCTGCCTCAAGGCTGAGTCCCTTGATTACCCTCTCCAATGTGTGTATACCCAGCCTGTTTGGAATAAGGGGGAGTGAGCAAAGAGACAAATCAAGTTGTAAAGGACACACCAGAGCATCACACTGTAAACAGTAAGGGAGCCGTTGTTGTGTTTACACAGGTGGTCTGAGATCACAGCAGGCCTTGACTTCGACTCAGTGAGCAGGGCCTCCACCTCCACTCCTGGGGGGGGGGGGGGCACGTTCATGAGGGCAAACTAAGAAATCCAAGAATACCCCACAGTTTGGAGAATTTTTAAAGGAAACAGCCTGGGTAGCGGGCCTAGGGTTAGACCGGAAGGATTGAGCCGCACACGCGCAGTGCGTGAGATTCGTTGTCTCCAAACACAAGTTCTAGGGAAAAGCGACTTTAGGACCAGACTCAAGAACAACAACTCTGCTCGTGGCCATGACTTGGTTAGTAGTTAACTTTATGGGTCACTGAAGGTCTGGAAACAGACTATAAAGAAAAGAAAGGGTGACCTGGGAGCTTTGTGTTGGAAACGGCTGTGACCAGTTGCTTCTGGAATGGGGATGTATTGACTGCAGTAAACTTTATAGGCTTGGCACCTGTCTGTTGAGGCTGGAATTGGAAGTAAACTTTGGACCGAGTAGCTGGTGTGAGCTGTATCTAAGAGGGGACACAGAAGAGATTCTATTCCAAACCGGAAACAATGCGGCATCCAAGGGATACACAGGATCTGCCTTTTTTGATGACCTCTGGGGACTCTCTGCAAGTGCCTCGTCAAGGTTGATATCCGAGTGAGAGGAACCCAGCTCTTGCTATGCTGGCCCTTTGTTGCTGTTTAATCTCCTAATTTTGAAATTGGAAAGCACTTAAAATAAAAATGAAAGACTTAGCTATTGAGAATCTGCTATCTTTAACTGTTTCCATTTGGGGAGAAACAATGCATTATACATAATGTTAACTTCTATTCAGTCATCATTTCTAACTTCGGCGTCCATCAATTTTCCAGTGATTATTTATTAAGCACATCACATAGTCTGCTGTTAACGGAACATACTCTGAAGTTGTGAGCACCGAATAAGAAATAAGATTCTGCCAGAAGTGCTTCCGAAAATAGACATTATTTTATTCCACTTAATTTTCAAAACTGGCAAATTGCATGCCTTATTCTAAATAGGATGCAGAGCCAAGTGTGGTGGTACACCCCTGTAACCCAGCACTTGGGAGGCTGAAGCGGGAGAATCCCAAGCTTGATGCCAACCCAAGCTGTATAGCAAGCCCCTCTGTCAAAATCCGGTATTAGGAGAAATGAGACAAAACGTGGTGGAGAAGAGTGTTGAACTAAGCTTGGGAAGGTGTAAGGGCTAACCTAATACCACTATCAACAGCTATGTGGCAGTGAAACCAAACATTCCCTCTCTCAGGCTCTGGTAAACTGAATAGGTTGAAGCAGGTGAGGTTTCTGCCCACAAAGAAAAGCTGTAATAATAGGTGATGTTTCCAAGACAAGCACTTAGCGTTCTTCATCAGCTAGTCCTCACAACAGTCCTGCATTGTCTGCAGTATTTTTTCCTCCATTTCCACACGGGGGAACTGGGTCCAAGGTCATCCAATGATAAGGGGAAAATCCAACTTTGAGCTTATTCTTCCCCACATTCCAAGTTTCATGACACCGTTCCACAATACTGAACTGCCTGAGAGAGAAAGTCCAATTCTTTTTTTCCTCTACTTATTCAGGGGTATCCTGAATATCTGGAGTGCTTGAGACCAGAAATATTTTCTATTTCAGATTCTGGAAAAGTTGCACATTCATAACGAGATAGCTCAGGGGTGGGACCCAAGACTCAACATTTGTTTCCTATGTGCCTTATATGTGTATCCTGAAGATAATTTATACAACACTTTTAATGCACCTGTGTTTTACCTATAACTCATCACTTGAGGTTAGGTGTGGAATTTGCTACTTTTGTAGCATCATGTTAGTTCTCAAAAAGCCTGGATTTTGCACTTCTGGATGCATTAGTTACGTTTCTGTTGCTATGGTAAAGCATCACGACCAAGGCAACTTATGGAAGAAAAAGCTTCTGTGAGGCTATGGTTCCAGAGGGATAAGAGTGCACCATGACAGAGACAGGATGGCAACAAGGGCCAGGCATCGGGACTGGAGCAGCCAGACAGAGCCAACTGCAAGCAGGTGAGGCTTTTTACTCTAAAAAACCAGCCCTCAGTGGTGTATTTCCTCCAGCCAGGCCACACATCCCCAAACAGCACCACCAACTGGGGACCAAGTGTTCAGATGCTTGAGACTATGGGGAACATTTC